CATCAGGCTGCAGCCCCACTCCCTAGAGCAGTGTCTGGCACATTGGAGGCATTAGTGTGTATTTGCTGAATGAGCAGATGAATGAACAGCATTATCCTTTGGCAAACACAGAACTCACTTGAACCATCTGTGCAGAGGGGCCTGGTCCTCCTTTTCCAGATCTGCCCATGCTCATCCAGTCAGTTCAATCTGCAGATATATATATATTTTTCTTTTTGAGATGGAGTCTTGTTCTGTTGCCTAGGCTGGAGTGCAGTGCCATGATCTCAGCTCATTGCAACCCTTGCCTCCTGGGTTCAAGCGATTCTTCTGCCTCAGCCTCCTGAGTAGCTGGGACTATAGGCATGTGCCACACTCCCAGCTAATTTTTTAATATTTTTAGTAGAGACAGGGTTCGCCATGTTGGCCAGGCTGGTCACAAACTCAAGTGATCTGCCCACCTTGGCCTCCCAAAGTGCTGGGATTACAGGCATGAGCCACCGTGCCTGGCCTGAATGCAGATATTTCTTGAGCATCTGCTACTATGTGTGAAGCATTGTTCTGGGTTCTGAGTATACAGCAATGGATAAAACAGACAAAAATCCCACCTTGTACAGCTTGCATTTTAGTCAGAGCAGACAGGCAAAAGAATAAAGAAGTGAAATAGAAGGAGGCCAGATGGCGAGGAGTGCTGTGGGGAGAGGATGGGAGTGTTAGGGAGTGCTAGGGAGGGGCAGTCGGTAAGGCTGCATGGAGGAGGTGCTATGTCAGAAAAACTCTGGAGAGGGGAACGAGTGAGTCTCCAGCCATCTGGGGAAAAAGTCTTCAGGCAGAGGGAGCAGCGAGTGCAAAGGCCCTGGGCCTGGATGATGGTTAGAGTGGGCAAGGGGGAGAAAGAGGCAGGGGTATCTCGTGCAGGGCCTTACTCTGAGCAAGACGGGAGGCATGCAATGGGATTTGTGTGTGTCAGGGGTCCCTAGAGGGCTGTTTGTTGCTGGAAGATTCTGTGGTTGGATAGCATCCTGATGAACGTGGAGCTCATCTGTCCTTCAGATGGGAGGCAGCAGCTGCTGTGAGTGCTGTCCTGGACACGGTCTCAGCTCTGCGTGTCATTTTCCCTCCCTGGACCTCATCATCCCCAGCTGGAGGCTGAGTGGTGAAGGAGAACTGGCTCATCACCAGCCCCCGTTGAACCACAAGACCTCTTTCTGGGGACCTCTGGACAGCATGGGTGAGCCGCTCACCATCCCCACCTACAAAGTCATTGCCTGCCGAGCACCTGCTCTGCCTGGGGCACTGGAATTACAGAGGGGCAGCAGGAGACAACGGGTCTCAGCTTGGTCCTCAAAGCCCAGCAGGGAGGTGTGGGGTGGTGGGGGTAAGGGGGAGTGGGTGAAGGAGGGTAGGAAGGGGTCCCCTTGTAACCTGATTGGGAAGACCGGCTCTCTGAGCAACAAAAATGAGTGACATTATAAATATCAGATATACAATGTCAAAAGATTATTACAACGATAACAATGACTAGCAATTACAGTGTGCTACTCAATGAGGGTACAATTACGGTGTGCTACTCAATGAGGGTACAATTAGAGTTTGGGGTCAGACTGACACCTGAAGGGGAGCCCTGGTCACACAAATTATGGGTTGCAGGGACTGGAAGGCAATCAGCAGCTGCCGGAAGGTGCTACAGCCCCGACCCTTCCCACCAGGTTCCCGTCCTTCTGTCCTCCTCATCTCTCTGTCAGGTCACCGGCTCCTGGCTCAGAAATCAGAGACCCCTCAGAGGTGGGAGTTGGGAGGTGGGAGGTGGGAGGGGCCCTGGGCTGCCTTCCTGATCTCCATCTTCCTCTGGCTTCCCAGGGCACTGGTCTGTGGGTAGAAAGAATCTTTAGAAAACGGAGAACAATGGCCTATTTTGGGAAGTCTGCCTGGGACCCCAGCTCAGCTTCGTGGCAGGGATGTGTGCCTGGAAGCCCCAGGGACCCTGCTGGGCCTCTCAGTGCCCTGTCTTATGAAGGGAGGGCTTGGCCACCCACAGATAATCCTCAGCTCTGACGGCAGGTGGCCCTAGGGGAGGGGCCTGGAAGGGGACCCCCTCACCGCAGTGAGGAGATTCCACTGCCCTGTTTTAGGTTTTGGGGCTTCCCCATGAATTCCAATTTAGGAAAGGATACTGTAGCTTTAAAAAAAGCCATATATGGCTGGGCACAGTGGCTCACGCCTGTAATCCCAGGATTTTGAGAGGCCGAGGCAGGTGGATCACAAGGTCAAGAGATCGAGACCATCCTGGTCAACATGGTGAAACTGTCTCTACTAAAAATACAAAAATTAACTGGGTGTGGGGATGCACGCCTGTAGTCCCAGCTACTTGGGAGGCTGAGGCAGGAGAATTGCTTGAACCCAGGAGGCGGAGGTTGCATCGAGCTGAGATCGCACCACTGCACTCCAGCCTGGTGACAGAGTGAGACTCGAATAAATAAATAAAAAGCCACATATGACCCTTGTAGGGGGCTCTTCCCCATGAAGACCAGTCTTCTGGTGCTGGGATTTAGGGGCTTGGTCCGACCTCCTGGAGTGTGCTGTGAGGAGCCGCTTAAAATTGCCTGGGGAAGGTGCTTTGCAAATGGGGCCTGGGCGCTGAGTCTCTGAGCTTTAATGGGCTTCTCTTGCTTCCTGTTGTTCTTCATGGCAGTTCTGGGGTGAATCAAATGAAACTTTGTGGTTGTGGTCTTCCGCCCCATGCTGTTTAAGCAGATGCTTCTAACCAGTAGGCAGGGGAAGATGAGGGTCCTCTGGGAGGGGCTGCTGCTGGAAGGGGTTGTCCCCCCAGAACCCTTCTCTTCCTCCAAGGAAAGACCTTTCTAAATGGTGTCTTAGGAGCCACAAAATGACCTTGGGACAAGATGGGGCACCTGACGGTGAAGCCCGAGGACCCACACAGTGTTGGCAGGTGGCCCTCAACCCCATTGTCTTCTGCCCGCACGCCTGGGACCACCACATCCTTCTTGTTCCACTGATGTCACCCATTTCCCACCTGGGATGCCTACCTGGGCTGGCTTTGAAATGACAGCTAGCCTTCACCATTTCCTTCTTCCTGGTGTCTCCTGAATAAAAAGCTCACAAGCCCTTGTTGTCTTAGGATCTTTTCTGCTAACCAGCGTGGACATAGGATGCGGTCAAAACAACAAAAGCAGGGAGGTTGTACAGTTCAGAAAATCCCACACATTCTCAAGAAGGGTGTCCCTGGCAAGCTGAGAGAGAGTTGGGACATCACGCTTTCCTGGAGGGGAAGGCTCCCCGCCCCCATTCCTGCACAGCTGGGAGAATCTCTCCTGTTCCTCCTCCAGTCTTCTCACTCTCATTTGCTGGGCTGACCCCTGCTGGTATTTCAAGACTGTTTGGTGCCACCGTCTCTGAGGGATGGCCTCCGTCATCTGATTTAGATGCTTTTCTTTACGTTCTCATAGTAGCTTGTACTAATACTTGCTACCCCCTGTTGAAATTGTCACCAGGCAGGTCTAAGACCAGGCAGTCTGCTTTTGTCTCGGAAGGACACTTATTACCCCTTCCCGTTCACAGGTATTGAGTATTCTTACCATCATCTTTCCCTGCTGCGCTCACGGCAGACAATGCTAATCTGTCATGACACTCTGAGGATCCCAGACCCAGCTGCATAATCATTCTCAGTCCAACACTCCAGGAACCAAGGGATCACAATCCCCTTCTAAGAGGAATCCAGCGTGTGTCTGGTCTTGGGCATTCCCTGGTAGGTGAGTAACCCTGTTCTCTCATCACTCAGTGCTTATCAGTTGCTGATCTGGCAGTAGGAGGATGAAACACAGTCAGCCTATTCTGTGTTCCTGTTCTCCTCAAGGGGTGAAGAGGCACCTGGAAACAACAGGAAGAGTTGTAGGATTAAAAAGGAAATCAAAGATTGAATGTAACTTTCATCTGGATGAAGCCAAAGGCAGACTTCCAGCCCAAAATTCTAACTGGTGGCTGACACAGGACATGGGTTCATGGTACCCTTCTAGAATGCAGCACAGACTACTGATGAGCAGTGCATGGCAAAGAAGCCAAGTGTCATTTGATGGCCTCAGCCTCTCAGCTGAGAAGCAGGGCACAGCTCACCCAGGCTAGGAAAACAGAGGCAAGTCCTGGAAAACTGCCTGCCTTTAACCAAGAGTTACTGGCCATCAAGTGTCTTTTCCAAAAAATAAATGTCAGGCAACCTTCTCAGTAGAGTGTGTGGGGGGATTGTCAGACTCTGGTGATGACTTCTGAGGGTCCCAAAGAGTGAAGTGATATTTACATAGCAAATCCAATGAGGGGGATTGTGTGCAGTGTAGGTGGAGGTTGGGGGCAGGTTTTGTGGGTTTGCCAAGCTCCAAGGGTCATACAATGTGCATGTCAAGTATAAGAAATCAAAGCCGTGGAAATGGTTGGAGGTGGTTCAGTTTGAGGTCATGTGTTTCTCAGCTCCTGTTGTGGAATTAGTGTGAGACCCAGAAGACTGTGGCCAAAGTTATTATGGACTCATGGTCTCCATGGAATCATCCCTCATGCCTTCTGCTCTCTGATCACATCCACACTCATGTCATCCTCATTCTTCCAAGGTGAGGTTACTTGCACTGCACAGGGGCTGATGAGAGAATGTCCTGCCAGGAAAAACCATCCCAAAGAGATTCTTTCCCCCTTGGCACTGTGTCTTGTATTTGCTCAGCAGCCCACATCCTGTTCTGCCCCAAACCTTGGGGCAAACTTCCCACAGGTTAATTTGAACTCCCCAAGATTAAAATCAAGCCCATATTCAGGAAACACTTAGGAGTCTTCGAGGTTCACCTAGAAGGAAGTTGGAAATTGTTCACTTATGTCAGTGCGTTTGCAGTTGGGCAACAGCCAGATTGTTCACATGGCAATCAATCAAACACACCTAAGTTTTTCCCACAGATTAGCCATTGACTGTTAGCAAAAGCCCTCACTTCCTTATATTGATTTATAGCAGCAGTAGAAATATGCCACCCTAGAGGACACACCTCCTTTTAGCTAGGTACCTATAAATGTCAAGGATTTTCTATTCAATTAAGAACCCAGCAAAATGGGGATCTCCACGGTCATCCTTGAAATATGTCTATTATGGGGACAAGTTCTATCTACAGGTATTACGTTTAATTATTATATTCATTAATTTCTCTCTTGCAGACTCAATCATGGCAAATTATATGTACTGGTTTCCATTTCAAGGGAAGTTTTATATCAAAGAGTGGGTAGCCCTTTGCTGATAATTCTAATTGTTTGCAGGTATTCGGGAGGAATGGCTCTTTTTTGTTTTGTTTCTGGCTGAGAAATATAAATGGTTGTAGTTAGAAAAAGCCAGTCATTATGTCAGTGTTTTCAGTAAGCCATTCAACTAAAGGAATGATTGATTGGTCTTAGAAAAATCCCTGAAGTTCAGGAAAGGTGGATGTGTATTATTAAAGAGGCCCTCAAACTTTGCAGCAATTGGTTAAACACACAATTTGTGTGCTATGAAAACGGACAGAAAGGATTCCCACTGTAAATGCCCTTTATGCGGCTTCTTTCTACAGGTGTGTCTGGCTTGATGGCTAATATTTGCCGAGCAAAATCAGGTCAAGTAATTGAGCACAGACAAAATCATTAAGATTCCAAGTTTGTCTTGGAATTCCAAGTTTGTCTGTCTTGCACAGCTTTAAACAAACACTTGAAGCCCAGTCACTCAAGCATAGCTGTATGTTCTTAGAGTCAGATGATAAATGTGAGAGAGCCATCGGCAGAGTGTGCTGATTGCTGAATCTCAATGGCATTTTGCAGAGATACTAGGGGAACAAGTGATTCTCAGTTTCCCTATTCTGTCTCTCTCTCTTCCTCTCTCTATGCCTCTGTCTGTCTCTCTCTCTGTATCTTTCTCTCTTATCTATTGTGTAGTTATTATCACCTTTTCTCTCCCCTCTCTCTCCCTGTTTCTGTCTGCCTCTGTTTCTCTCTTTCTGTATCTTTCTCTCTTTCCCATCTTTTGGGCAGCTATCACTTTTTCTCTCTCCTTCTCCCTCTGTTTCTGTCTCTGCCTTTCTGTCCCTGCCCGCCTCACTGTATCTTCCTGTCTCTCTCATCTATCAGGCAGTTATTACTTTTCCTTCCTCCTTCCTCCCTCCTCTCTGTTTCTCTCTCCATCTCTCTTTCTCTTTACTGGGGAGATGTTATCACCTTTCTCTCTGTCTCTCTCTTCAACTATTGGGCAACTATTATCACCTTCCTTCTCTCTCTCTCTCTCTCTCTCTATCTCTATCTCTCTCTCTCTCTGTTTCTCTTCATCTATCAGGCAGCTATTACCACCTTCCCTCCCTCTCTCTTTTTCTCTCTCACTCTTTCTCCTCATCTATCAGGCAGCTCTTATCACCTTTCCTCCCTATTTCTCTCTCTCTCCCTTTGTTTCTATCTTCCTACCTTTCTTCCCTCCCTTTTGCTTTCTCTTCCTCTCTTTATTCATTTCTTTCTTCCTTCTTCTATATTTCCTACTGCCATTTTTTTTTCTTTTGTGTCACCTTTTGCTAGATTTATGAATTTCAGGAGACACGGTAAAAATCACCTAATTTTCAGATAACTTCCAGAACTCTCACTCTCCCCCTAGGCTCAGTGGGGGAAGCTTTGAAGATTAAGGTTCATTTGGGAGGTTGCTTTCATGAAAGCAGCACCCCAAAATCCAGCCCTCACACCCGGGTGGTAGGGAGCAGGCCCACGCCCTGTGATGAGCGTGTGGAGGGGCTGGGGGTCACCAGACCCAGGACCTCAGGGGAGTGGAGACTGGGCATCCTCATCCTGCCTCCATCAGAAGCATCTGAAACTGGGAGGCTGCGTCCTCAGCCCCAGCTCTTGTCAGTACCGAGTTCACCCTCCAGATTGTCTCTGAACCATGACATGGAATTCGCGTCAGCCACTGCAGATGGAGTGAATTGCCCTGTCTTTCTTTATCCACAAAGGAACAACAGGCAGCAGTGCTGTTGGATTGAGGAAATTTGTAGTTTGCCCATGATGTTACATGCATGCATATGGACAGACACGCACACATGTGCAAGCAGGCCTGTGTTTGCCGTTCAGAGGTGGGAATTCATGCTCTCTGAAATGGACCCGTATTCTTTTATTTAAATTTGCTAACATTCCTGAAGTTAGGAACAATTATTTCCACATTTCAGGTGGGGGAACTGAGGCTCAGAAAGGTTATTGACTTGTCCAAAGACAGCACTGGTGAGTGGCTGTGTTAGGGCTTGAATCTGGATCGAATTCATTAGCATTCAGATGACAGCTCTGGCCCTCTGGCCCTCTGGCCCACTGGCCCTTGCTGATCCTTGCAGGGAGCTGAGGTGATGAACTGAACCGTGGCGTCTTACTCAGTGCTTGGAGCCTGGTCACAGAGCTTTGCGCTGGAAGTACCAAGGTGGCAAGCACCTGTCAGCTTTGGTCTTCACACAAACTCTTGAGAATGCCCAGGTTTGTGCTGGGCAGGAAGGGCTGTGGTACCCACTGGCTGGCCCCAGCAATGCCCCTCCTCTGCCACTTGCCCGCTGCGGAGCCTCTGCAAGTCTCAGTTTACTCATTTATAAATGGGGGTTATGTTCCAACCCATGCAGTGTCTGTCTCATGGACAGAGCCTCAGAACCATTTAGTGTTGCTACTCTAGACATTTTCCTCATGTTTTATCCAAAAGCAGCTTCCTAAAGTAATGTGAACTCTTGGATTGGATCCTGGAACAGAAAAGGAAAAACTGGTGAAATCCAGATAAAGCCTGGAGTAAACTTAGTAGGAAGGTACCAGTGTTCGCTTGTTAGCATGAGAATCACTTGAACTCAGGAGGCGGAGGTTGCAGTGAGCCGTGATTGTGCCACTGCACTCCAGCCTGGGTGACAGAGTGAGACTCAAAAAAAAAAAAAACAAAAAACAAAAAACTAAAAAACTGATAAATCGTTTTCCAGAAGTGATTCTTACTTCTACCAGTAAAAAACAAGAGTAGCAATTCCTGCACTTTCACCAGCTCTGAAGTTACTGTTCAAAAATCTTGGCTGAACTGCTGGATGAAAAAATGCCATAGAGTCATTTAAGTTTGCATTTCTTAGTCTATAGTGAGAGTGAACATTTTTAAGCCTTCTGTACTCCTTTTCTTTGAATTGCTTATGTATTTTGTCCAATTTTGGCGGAAGTTAGTGTCTTCTTTATTGATTTATATAAACTCTATATATTTGGGATACTTATACTTTGCCATTATATTGATGACAAATATTTTCCCAGTTTGTAGTTTGCCTTTTAATCTTGATTTTTTTCTGCACACATATTTTATATTTTTATGTAATTAAATATACTGCTGTTTTCCTTTGTGATTTCTGCAATTGATTTTTTTTTTTTTTTTTTTTTTGGGAGGGATTCTTGCTCTGTTGCCCAGGCTGGAGTGCAGTGGTGTGATCTTGGCTCACTGCAACCTCTGCCTCCCGGGTTCAAGCAATTCTCCTATCTCAGCCTCCCCCGTAGCTGGGACCACAGGCGCCCACCACGACACCTGGCTAATTTTTGTATTTTTAGTAGAGAGAGTGTTTCACCATGTTGGCTAGGCTGGTCTTGAACTCCTGAGCTCAGGTGATCCACCTACCCCAGCCTCCCAAAGTGCTGGGATTACAGGCGTGAGCCACCACACCCAGCTGATTTCTTCTATTGATTTTAAATCTAGAAATTTCTAACAGGAATCAGATAAAAATGTAACTAGTTTCTTATTTTTGTGCCTTTAAAAAATAGTTCTTGAGCTCTGAAAATTATTTTACTTTCTGGTGTGAGTTATATCTGACTTAGGTTTTTTCTATATTTTAATTTTTATAGCTTTAGTTTAGTTTATCTCACTTTATTTTACTAATTTTGAGAAAATGTTTTTGAACACTGACTACGTGGCAAACACTGTACTAAACACTTATGTTTTCTGATTTTGTCTTCACAATAACCTTATGAAGTAGCATAATCACCCTTTTACAAATGAGGAAACGAAGACTGAGGAGGTCACATGGCTTGTCTGTGTTCAGAGAAAAAATACATGGCGGGTCTAGAACTTGAACCCCGGTCACCTGCCTCCTAAGTCCATGGGGAACTCAGGTTCTCCCATCCCATTTCCATCCTCCTAACACCCTGCCCTGTCAGTATTTTTTATTTTTCAAGAATGTATCGGTTATTTTTAGCCTATTCATTTGTCCTGGTGAACTTTAGAATTATTTTCTGAAAGAACTAGTCAAACAAAGAAAAACCCTTTGATAAAAATTATATGAAACCTATGAATTAGTTTTGAATGATCAACATTTCTATGCTCAGTGTCGCCATCCAGAAACCTGGTTCTTCTCTGTCTGCCATGAGGCGCTCAAGAAGTTTTGTAGTTTGTAGCTTAATTCTTAGGAGGTTGTTTTGAAGGAGCAGTTCGTTCATAGTGTCTCTGCCTCCTTAGTGCTAATTTTAACCTGGACCTTCCCCTTCGCCTGGCTTTCCTCTGCCCATCCTGCCTGGTATAGCTCAGTGATTGACTTGAGGGTCAATCACATGTGACCTTTTGCTGTCCTCCTGAACATCCGTCCGTTGGAGCCCTTAGTTTGCTATGCTCTACTTGCTTACCTGCATGTTTGCTGTAGCTACTAATTGCTTATCTGTACGTTTCACTCACTAGAGCCTAATTCCAAAGGGCAGTGGAGGCGTCGTATAATCTCAATATTCTCCCCGCCTGGTGGAAGAGCATCTATTATAGCCACAGCTCAGTATGTGGTTGTAAATGAATTCTTCCTTACCACACTAATAACATTGCTGCTACCGTTCCCTTTACACATGCTGTAGAACAGCATTTTTCAAGCTTAGTGTGTGTTAGAATCATGGGAGTGCTTCTGAAAACAGTGTTGAGTGCCACCTCTGAAGTTCCTGACTTTGTAAGTCTGGGTGAGGCTAAGACTTCACATTTTCATCAAGTCCCCAGGTGCTGCCTGATGCTTCATGGAACCCATTTTGAGAATAATTTCTCAAGAAGAACTCTTTTTTTTTTTTTTTGAGACGGAGTCTTGCTCTGTCGCCCAGGCTGGAGTGCCGTGGTGCGCAATCTCGGCTCACTGCAGGCTCTGGTTCCGGGGTTCACGCCATTCTCCTGCCTCAGCCTCCCAAGAAACTGGGGCTACAGGCACCCACCACCATGCCCGGCTAATTTTTTGTATTGTTTAGTAAAGACGGGGTTTCACCATGTTAGCCAGGAAGGTCTCGATCTCTTGACCTCGTGATCCACCTGCCTCGGCCTCCCAAAGTGCCGGGATTACAGGCGTGAGCCACCGCGCCCGGCCTGAGAAGAACTCTTCTCTAATGTAACTGAGACAGGTAGTTGATGGGTTATTCAAAAAAGCTGTTTAAAACGGGAAATCAGAAAATAGGATCTACACACTTTAGATGTTTCGTTTTAACTTAAAACATGTCATCCATACATTGATTCCCTAATTTGTTGATGTAGGCATTTCTCTCTGCAGGGATCTTCAGTAGTTCTGCAATGCTTTTCTGGCATAAACCACACCCATTATGCATCATCTATTATTTCTAATTTTAGTTTCTTTAAAGAGGAACCTGGCATTAAAAACATTTGCAAAGCAAATAAAAGTGCAAAAGTTCTATTGTTTTATTTTCCTTTCTTCTACTTATTTTTATTTTCTTTCTTCTACTGAATAAGTTTCTAAAAAGCATTCTGCCTTATCTTTATAGAAAGACATCTTTCTTTTTGCACCCATATTTCATTAATGTATTTAATATTTAATTTAATTTCATGCCAAGTACCACTGGCACAAGTACGTTTGGGACTCACATCTGACTCTAGATGACCACGCATTGCAGTTGGTTGGAGTGGAAACTGCCAGGTGTGCCAAATGTGCTTGGCCCACCCACACTAGTGCTCAGCAGGTTACAGAGGTTGAAGGGCTTCAGTTGACCTGGCTGGGGTTTAGCTAAAGGTCGGTGAAGAGAGCTTCCTGCCTACTGCTGCCTCTGGGGTACCTTTCATCCAGAGTTAACAGATTCCTCAAATAAAAATACAGGACACCCACTTAAATGTGAATTTTGGATACAAAATAATTTTTTTGTATAAGTTTGTCCCATGCAATATTTGGGACGTACTTACATTTAAAAAGTATTTCTTGTTTGTCTGACATTCAAGTTTAACTGGACATCCTGTATTTTATCTGACAATCCTATTTTTACCCCATTTTCTCTTGACACTTGTCTATATCTCCTTCCAAACCTACGTGAAATATCCACTTCTCTGGGTAGTTCTTGCTCAGAGGGGCCCCGTGAATTGCTCCCTCTGATGTTTCTACTTCTCTACTCTGGGCCCCGCTTAGGCCAAAACCAAGTTATCAGGTACCAAGCTGTGTCTGCCCAAGTGGCCTGTGAGCTCCGGAGGGCTGAGTCTTACCTTTTAGGACAAATTTCTTCTTTTCTCCCTGACGTTTAATGCTTCATGGAGCAGTCAGAGATTATTCCATATTCACTGAGTGACTTAATTAACAAGTGACAAACCCAGTGAACCCCCAAACTAAAATGTAGTGTTGCCCCCCATCTCCTGCTCAAATTAAGAAGGGTGCCAGATCTAACTCTTGTTTTTAGATGACCTCTCATTTGGCCTTTTTGCTTTGCAATTTCAGCAGCAGTAAGCGTGAGACACGCCACAGAAACTGGTTTTCAGGAGACTCGGGTGATGACTGGTAATGCTATATCTAAGCTCTGGGGCTGGGGAGTGGTGCTGCCCAAGACTACCCCCAAGGAATCAGGAGGGTCTGCTGCAGAAAATCCTGCTGGGTTTTGTTTTAAAAGAAAATCATATATAGACATATATGTGTACATCTCAAATATATGTCTTTTTCATATATATATATATATATATATATATATATATTTATATTTGAGACAGAGTCTTGTTCTGTTGCCAAGGATGGGGTGCAGTGGCCTAGACATGGCTCACCATAGCCTCGACCTCCCAGGTTCAAGCCTTTCTCCTCCCTCAGCCTCTGGAGTTGCTGGGACCACAGGTGCACACCACTATGCCTGGCTATTTTATTTTATTTTATTTAACTTTTGTAGAGACAAGTTCTCGCCATGTTGCCCAGGCTGGTCTGCAACTCCTAGGCTCAAGCATCCTCCTGCCTTGGTCTCCCGAAGTGCTAAGATTACACATGTGAGCCACTGCATCCGACTGCTGCTAGATTTTAGATGTAGGGCAGGGAGAACCTCCTTTAATGGGGTCACCAAGGTTGGGCCCTTCAGCCCCTTCCTCCTTCCAGCTGACAGGTCCTGGGCCTCCATGCCCACCCCTGCCTATGCATACCTCCTGCCTCTGATCTCTGCCCTCAGGCTGCCCCACCGGGTGTCCGGGGGATTGTACCCAGTCACCAGGGCAGCAGAGGCACATGAGTACAGCAGCATCTAACTGAGGACCTTTCGATATAATCCCTTATTTTTTCTCTTCTTTTCTAGAATTTGCAACACATCTTGAAACCTCTACCCTAGTTAATACTTCAAATGATAACTGCCTCCACTCAGTGTTTCCTCATCTTATTATAGTTCTGTGTGTGTATGTGAGCACCTGTTTGTACAAAAGCATAGGCCATGAGTTGGGTCAAATGTTTCAAATGTTAAAAAATGTATAGCAGAAGGCAGAAGCGTGAAATGGTTAAGAGCAATAGCTTGAGGACATGTCCTGCTCTGTCACTTGCAAGTCAGTTGACGAGCAAGTGGGTGACCTTCTTGAGCCTCAGTCTCTCCATGGAGTTGTGTGGAGAATGAGCTAAGATGATACGTGTGAAGCTCTTGTACATGATCTGAGGTTCCCGTGTTAGCAGATGCCCCAAATCATCTGCCATGACTAAGCATTCGAGATTGGCACCTTGGGGCATGAGGGACTGGGGAGAAGAGGAATCAGGAGTGTGGAAGTGTGAAGCGCAGGGTTACAGGCACCTTAGAAGCAAGCCTAGCTCTCCCAGTGATACCTGGAGGGCTATTTTGTTTCCTGAAGGGAGCCCATCTGGAGTAATTCCCATCACAGTGCTGGGCTCACGTGGGGCACTTCCATTGGCGAAAAAAGGAGCTGCCGTGGGCAGGACAGGTTCTTCATAATTGGAACCTTACTTGAAAGGTCAGGCCAGAGGCACAGTGGAACTTGAAACTGATGATGCCACACAGGCCCCGTCAAGACGCAAGGTTGGCCAAACTCTACTGAAGAGTCAGGAAAGTCGAGCTTAAGTTCAAACAGGAAAACGCGCTGAGAAATCTGGGTTTTGGATCGTCAGTTCTTTTTGGGGTCCTTGCTCACAGTGTAGGGCAAGGGACAGAGAAGTGAAGTCTCTGTATCTCCCTCTAGATTTGACCCTGAGGCTGGTGAATGGAGGTGACCGGTGTAAGGGCTGGGTGGAGGTCAGGTACCATGGTTCCTGGGGCACCATGTGTGATGACTTCTGGGACATCAATGATGCCAACGTGGTCTGCAGGCAGCTCGGCTGTGTCAGCCCCAGGAAGTGGCTGGTTTTGGCCAAGGCTCAGGGCCGATTGTCCTGGATGACATACGCTGCTCAGAATATGAGTCTTACCTGTGGAGCTGCCCCCACAATGGCTGGCTCTCCCATAATTGTGGCCACAATGAAGATGCTGGTGTCATCTGCTCAGTTGGGCCTCCAAGAGATAATGCAAATGTGTAGCACAGGGCAGAGTAATAATAGTCATTATACCTATTCCTCCCTAAACTTCAGTTTCTCCAAAAGAAAAATGGAAATAATACTAATATCTTGGGTAACTTATTTTACCTCTAAGTGCTTCAGTTTACGTCTCTATAAGCCAAGAGGAAAAGCCCTACCATCGCGAGTTGCCATAAAGACAAAATGAGATAATACAGGTGAAATGTTTAAAACACTGAGTGGTAGAAATTGTACAATCAGTCATCATCATCATTGATATTACTATAGTACCTAACCCTTGCGGTGTGCTGACTTTGTGCCAGTTAGTAGGATGAGAATTTCATCTGCGTTGTCCCCTTTAATTCTCCCAGTAACCTTATGAAAGGTAGGAAGTCTCAATAAATGATTATCTCTGTCATTTTATGGGACAGAAAAGGCATTTTCATTGCCCATTGTCTCTGCCAACACATCACTTAACTTTTTAGAATTAAATGACCAAGTAATTGCTGATCTGAACTTTTAGCAATTTCATTCAGTTCATTGAAAGCTAGCAAATTAATTCAAAGCTCTCAAACTCAACTCCTCAGGCCTATAAATACAAGCTGGATGGGCTAATTTTTTCAAAGAAATAAGAAAAGCAACGAGTCCCACATTTGTGCACAAGCCTAATCTGCTTTTCCACTGTGATGAAGGGTTGATTGTATTTTAGTAAAATAACAAAGTATCTTCAGCAGGAAATATACAGGAGCAAATGTACAAGTTATTACCCAGTGTTTCATTAAACTTATTTTTAAGATATTGAGAGCCCTTTTTTTTAATCGCCACATTTCCTGGGGCTGGTTTAGTATTTCGCCTTGTATATGCTAAAGACTCAGGAAATTGTTATCAATTTGAATTACATTTCAAAAACAGACTATAGATCTGTTGATGGTGATTTATGTGTAGCCTCTATAACTCTAGTTCACAGCCCACTGTATTGGTTTGAAGGTGGGTGTTTTGGTCAGGATTCTTGTGGGTGAAACACATGTGTCTGATTTTTCTTTTATTTCTTTTCAGCTTCTGAATCATCTCATCTCACAATACCCAGTAAGCACTTTGAAAAGAATATCCTGTATTAGTCTATGATTTTAAAAAATCCTATATAGTCATTTATATCTTAAGAATAAACGCTGCTGCACTGAACTTTAATGAATGGTATAAGGACTGAATAAAACTTTGATTTGTGTCCCTTCTTGAAATACAAAGGCAATAGAAACTTCTTTCAGTACAGCATAAATGGATTATAAATTGTGTTCTTTTTCAATGTTATTTTGTCTCTGCCTTAAACTTCAGTGCACGTCAGAATCAACTGGAGTATTTGTTTGAATAGGTCCTTGGAATTCCTCCCTCCAGAGACCGTGATTTGGAGGGCCTGAGGTGAGGCTCAAGAATCCTCAGTTTTATAGAACCACACGAGGATGGTTTGCAGACCACACTTTGAGAAACCATCCTGCATGGCCCAATACTGAATTAAACTTTGGTGTCTGCAATGTAATTTTGGAAGCACTACTTTGCTCAGAATTTACAAAGATAGTGACAGAAGGGGTGTGTGTATGTGTGTGTGTGTGTGTGTGTGTGTCCTTTAAGTACTGCCTACTTTTATTTATTGTCAAGTGAATTTAAATTTTTAACATTTTCCCAAACAGTTCTTGGCTACATCATAAGTTTGACTGTTGATATTAAAGACTTTTTCATGAGCAGATTGGTAACACTGAACCTTTAACATTGACTTCTCAAAATGGCCTTGACATCCTTGCCACCTCATCTGGCAAACCCCAGTCCTCCTAGGAGCCTTCTAAGCAGGAGAGCCCACAGCTTGGGAACACGTCCCCTGCCTTCAGGGATGACACATCAACTGATCACACAGGCACAATGACAAAGTGTAAAAAGTGCTGGAGCCAGAGGTGCATAGCAGGAGAAGTGTGAGCAGCCCATCTGGGAGAGCAACCCTGAGGAAGTCATAGGGAGCTGAGGTCGGGAGCAGGTGCAGGAGTAGCCAGGCAGAGTGGGGAAGGAGAGTATTTGCCTCTTACCCCCGGCACTGTTGTCAGGAACTTGAAAGAAACAGACAAGGACTTAGGTTGACTGTAGCCACCGTCCCCTAGCAGCCATATACTCTCTTCCCTGCTCAGCTACCCTAATGTGTATCTAGCCAGTGTGATGCTCTGATGGGAGGCCCTCCTGAGGTCCCATTTCTCTGTCTGTGTTCTTGATACACTTGCTGAAGCTCTAGGGAAAAAGACTGCTGATCAGTGAAGTTTTGAAAGTGGTGCTTGCCTGTGGTAGCGGGAAAATATTGGTCTTTGGGGATAAAGGGGTGAAGAGTGGGTGTGTGCACAGCTGTGGTCAGTCTTGGTTCTTATTTGCTTTCTAAGTCCTTGTCTAAATCTGGAGGGAGAAGGCAGGTGCAAGTCTGCAGACATAATCAGTGAGGAAATCTCTGGGGAACTCATTCTTGGTCATGTCTCGAACTGACAAATTAAGCAATGAACAATCCACCACTACATCCACTTTGTGGCATCCTCTACCTCCTCCACACTATCCCCTCAGGCTGTCCCCATTCACTTGGGGACAATGAGACTCCATGGCAAGGGCTCACATGAGGCTCCCATCCACAAAATCCTTAAACCGTGCTGAGACAGAGGCAGACTGTAGGGCAGAAAAGATAGTGCCTGAGAGTGTGAGATAACCTGTGTGCTTGTGGTGGATGAAGGGGAAGGGCTTACCACCTCCTTAAAGATGAAAACTGTGAGGATCAAAATGGTCTTATCTTGAATGGTCTGCAAAGTCAATAGTAAAGCAATGTGGAGCTTTGGTCAAGGCTGCTGGGTGACTTCCCATTGAAGACCCACCTCTGGTGGGCTATGGAAAGTAGGTTGGCATGGACCACCTTCCTTGCATCAGCTAGAACCACAAGGAGTGGGTTGGTAGCAGATAGTGGTTTTGCAGGAGGCAGTACAGGGGAAAATGGTGGACAGGGATGTTACAGTCTGTATGTCCTTGCCTACTCTGTAAACATCTATGCCTCGGTTTCTCATCTGTAAGTGCAGATGACAGGGTTTATGGGAGGGTTAAAAGCGATAACATATATAAATAGTAAAACAGTATTATCTCCAAGAAATTATGAAGACACAGTAAGTCTTCAATGAATGTTTGCTTAGGTTCTCTTCCCGTAGTGCTCCTCCTCTTAGGCTTCTCTCCCAGCATCATTGGAGTAGCCTACTTGGTAGATATGGGCTGGCTTGATGATACCTTGCCTATTTTTATGTTCAAGTTCTTCATCAGCAGGTACATTTCTCACCTTCAGGAGATTTGTGGCAGTGACTAAGTCCAAATGGAAAGGCGCCAGAACTCTTGGAAAATGCTTAGATCTTTGGGAAATACCTTGACAGATCTCTTTGTGGCTTCTGGTTGGGCCATTCTGATGGCTTAGCTATGTCGGACACTGATCCCCAGTGGTAGAGACCAGCCTATCTCCATTTCCTGGGAAACAAACAAGTGGAAGCTTCTCCCTTCAGACAATTTACCACCATTCCTACAATGGCAGCTGGAGTAATCTATAGCTATGTGGTTGATTCTTGGAAGACTACAAATTGGTCTCAATATGTGCAGAAAGGTCTATTCAAAGTGTGTGGACAGCAGAACCAGGAACAACTTCAATGTTCTGTTCCATGTTGTGGATGAGCCTTGTCAAGGCTCTGGAGCTCTGAGTTTCTGAGCTGGATGAGTTCGACTGCCATGGGATTAAGCAGGATACCTGGGGCCTGGCAGTGGGAATTGCATGGTGTCATGTAGACTGTGTTTAAATGACAGAGTGTTGAATGGAAGGCTCTCTCAGGCACATCTGTCAGCTTGTCCTTGAGTGTGGGAACAGGGATGGCATGTCAGAAATGAGGTGGGGATGTTCTGGTACAGATGTTCCCTAGTTTACTATCTCTGTTGAAAGAATGTTCTGGTTTCTGGTTTCTTTTTTTATTTTATTTTTAAGTTTTTTATTATACTTTAAGTTCTAGGGTACATGTGCATAACGTGCAGGTTTGTTACATATGTATACATGTGCTATATTGGTGTGCTGCACCCATTAACTCGTCATTTACATTAGATCTATCTCTTAATGCTATCCTTCCCCACTGCCCCCACCCCACGACAGGCCCCATTGTGTGATGTTCCCCTTCCTGTGTCCAGGTGTTCTCATTGTTCAATTCCCACCTATGAGTGTTTGGTTTTCTGTTCTTGCGATAGTTTGCGGAGAATGGTGATTTCCAGCTGCATTCATGTCCCTACAAAGGACGTGAACTCATCCTTTCTTACGGCTGCATAGTATTCCATGGTGTATATGTGCTACATTTTCTTTATCCACTCTATCACTGATGGACATTTGGTTCCAAGTCTTTGCTATTGTGAATAGTGCTGCAGTAAACATGTGTGCATGTGTCTTTATAGCAGCATGATTTATAATCCTTTGGTTATAAACCCAGTAATGGCATGGCTGGGTCAAATGGTATTTCTAGTTCTAGATCCTTGAGGAATCGCCACACTGTCTTCCACAATGGTTGAACTAGTTTACAGTCCCACCAACAG